GGAGAGGGAGAAGCAGGCTCCCCACTGAGCAGGGGGACCGGATGCAGGGCTCAATCCCAGGACCCTGGGATCATGACCTGAGCCGAAGGCAGACGCTTAATGACTGAGCCACCAGGCGCCCCAGATTCTCTTTTTTTTAAAGACATATTTATTTATTTTAGAGAGTGAGAGCGAGTGAGTTGGGGGAGGGGTAGAGGGAGGGAATCTTTCAAGCAGACTCCCTGCTGAGTGTGGAACCCCACCCATCCCATGACCCATGAGATCATGAGGTCAAGGGATCATGACCTGAGCCAAAACCGGCCCAACTGACTGAGCCACTCTGACGCCCCTCTCTGTGTTAGCTTCTAACATTTTTTCTTTTTAGCACTGCCACTGTGTTAGCTTCTAACATTTTTTCTTTTTAGCACTGCCAAAAGAAAAGAGTCCAGGCATGGCATTGGATAATTTATACCAAAACCAATATAAGCTTAATATTCTTGCCTGACATCTTTGCTTTCATTTAGCATTAGAAATCAAGATAGCAGGAGGGGAAGAGTGAAGGGGGGCGGAAATCGGAGGGGGAGACGAACCATGAAAGACTATGGACTCTGAGAAACAAACTGAGGGTTCTAGAGGGGAGGACAGTAGGGGGATGGGTTAGCCTGGTGATGGGTTATTAAAGGGCATGTTCTGCATGGAGCACTGGGTGTTATACGCAAATAATGAATCATGGAACACGACATCAAAAACTAATGATGTAATGTATGGTGATTAACATAACATAAAAAAAAAATCTCAATCTGGGAAGAGAAGGTAAATATTACTTACTTGTCTATTACTTACTTGTCCCAAACTACTAAAGCCAGACATTCTGTAAGGGATAGATTCCACTGAGGGGGACCGACTATATAAGGTGAGACAAAAAGAAAACAAACAAACCTGGTGTGAAACTTGACATAGACCTAAAGTCTCCTCAGTCCCTACCTCTGACGTATCTAGGTATTTCTTTTATCTTCCAACTTTTGCCAGCAGTTTTCATGTGGCTATGTAGGCTTCCTACTCACCTGACCACCAGGCTGCTATGCTGAGAACTGGGTCGTGGAGTGACTGGAAGAGAATCAAGTGAGGAATGAAGAGCTGCCATCCATGCCGTGCCCTGCCTTGCCTAGCCAACCTGTTACAAATGGGCATCTGGTTGTATGTTCTTCTCATATCATACACAAGATAAGGAAAATCTCATTATAGTCTCTGAGAGGAAACTACCCTCTATATGGGAGAAGGAGATTTATTCATCTCACATAGATATCTGGGCAAACAAATGTTCTCTACCTGACTGTGAGGGAGAAGTAATGCCCACTGGTCGAGGTGTGGCCAACCTGCAAGGGAAAAAAAGATGAAGCTCTAAGCAGAAGTTAAGTGTCCCCTGAGAGGATCAATCAGATCATTGTTTATAGAAATAACAGCTTACTATCTGAGCGCAAATTGCTTACTATCATGTATTACAGGTATCATCTCAAAATAAGGAGGCAAGGGCGCCTGGGTGGCTCAGTCGGTTAAGCGACTGCCTTCGGCTCAGGTCATGATCCTGGAGTCCCGGGATCG